AAGAGAGCCTCTAAGAAAACTAAGAATACTATCGTGTAAGGCAAGCAATTCTCTGTAAAACGGTCTAAAACTGAATGGCAAAATTTTTGAAGCTGTTTTGTTATGATAACTGCTGTTTAACGCCGCAGTACGCGTTCCGAATGTTATCACAAGAATGCTGAGTTGTGGGCAAAAGTCGTGCCCCAGGCGGGAGTCGAACCCGCACCTCACGCTTTCCGGGCGAGTGCGCTATCCGTTACGCCACCAGGGCCGCTTTTACCCTCTCACCAAGTTAAACGTGTGAGTGCTGTAAGGCTACGGCATAAGCCGTTAAGCTGAGAGGGTAAAAGCGGCCCTGGTGGCGTAACGGATAGCGCACTCGCCCGGAAAGCGGGTTCGACTCCCGCCTGGGGCACGACTTTTGCCCATCACTCAGCATTCTTGTGATATCTTCTATAAATTTCAGTGTAGAACTTTTCACGGTTTCACTCTTTTACTTATGTAGACTACTACAGAATTTTATATATTAGACCCTGACCTGGACGACCGCCTACTTTATGAGATTTATTGGGGACTTCTGAAATTTTATTATTTCATTCAACAGCATATCTTTCAAACTCTAGTGTATCCACAGACGGCAACTTATGACATTCTCGATTCCATTTCACTGGTCGCTAAGGGTTTTTCGCGATTTTTCGCATGTGCGGATGAGCTCGCGCATGCTGTTATTCATTGTTATTCATAAGTAAAGGTTGGCCCATGAAAAAAAGCGTTTTTTTCCTATTTAATTTTTTATATGAAAAAGGAAATCGTTCAAATGCGTTCTATGCTATTCAGTAGACAATTTTCTGCTCTGTAAGATAACATTTAAGCCTTCCTACAATTTCTCCGTTTCTGTCGATTTTTTTTCTATTGAAATGGAGTGTCGGGTCGGCACAAAAGTAATTTTTCGACAACCTTTTGCATTTTATCTCGGCTCTTTAATTACAGAAGAAGCTAAAAACTTGCGATATATATATGGCCAAGGAGTGATGCTTCTATGACAGCTTGAAGTTGGTTCAAGCGATCAAGAGGTGGGAATTCGGACCTTGTAAATGTGCATTGCATGGGGGCCTCTTGAGGAGCGACTGCCTGCAGAACCCCTACCCCCTAACTTTCGAACGTCTAACATCAACTGAAGGTGATGCTTGATAATGATAAGGAAGCATTTTATGACCTTTAACGATTCCTCAATCTTTGGCATGAATCTCCATAATAAGGTAATTCAGTAAGCTCTCAACTGGACTCAGTAGGGCATTAGGTTCGATGC